CACATCGTTTGGGACTTAATGGGTTAAGCTGAGAAGTATTTCAGAAATCCTCATGGCCAATCGACGTTGATATCTCGAAATTCGAAGTCGACGAAAGTGACGCTCAAGGCATTAAATCTGTGGGAAGAAATCAGCTGTTGCTAATTCCACGCAGAATCGATTCGATTAATTCCGGCGGTGTCTCTGACATGTGACGTTGCTATCGCCTCGCGCTCCCGCAAATATTCCAACGAATGACACCCTTTTTCGTTTGTTTCTAACGCGTACTCGAGAAACGAGTCACGTCGTGGTGGTTTATCGCCTTCGATAGATGCCTGCCCGCTCGGATTTTGCACGTCGACGATTTCGAGGACACGGAGCTCTCCTAACGCGTTTTACCTATTAGCGAGTCCGTACCAAAGGGCGGAAGAGAAAACGAGAGAGAGAGAGAGAGAGAGAGAGAGAGAGAAGGGGAAGAAGAGAGAAAGAGTGAGAAAAGGACAGAAAAAGAGAGAGAATGAGAAAAAGACAGAAAAAGAGATAAAGCCGAAAAAAGAGAGAGATAGGAAAAGAGATAAAGCCAGAATAAGAGAGAGAGAGAGAGGAGAGAGAGAGAGAGAGCAAAAGAGAAAAAGATAGAAAGAGCAAAAGAGAAAAAGAAACAGTAAAAGATAGAGAAAGAGAGAGAGAGAGAAAGACCCGAAAAGTGAGAAGAGGATTAATTTCAAAACTTGTTAGAGGCCACCGATGTCGATGGTATCGTTCTTTCTTCATTGGTTTTTCTAATGATACGAGCTAGCCTTCGAACTCTTGCGTAACTCGTATCGTTCATTGATATTGAGTCCCTTTTAACGGGACGAATCGGTGATTATCTCGAACCGCAATGCGTCCTTCGACGCAGGCTGTCACGATCACTACGTGAAAACGAAAGTCACATCTGTGTGTTGGGGGTGAGCTAACGTCAATCNAGCGAGTCCGTACCAAAGGGCGGAAGAGAAAACGAGAGAGAGAGAGAGAGAGAGAGAGAGAGAAGGGGAAGAAGAGAGAAAGAGTGAGAAAAGGACAGAAAAAGAGAGAGAATGAGAAAAAGACAGAAAAAGAGATAAAGCCGAAAAAAGAGAGAGATAGGAAAAGAGATAAAGCCAGAATAAGAGAGAGAGAGAGAGGAGAGAGAGAGAGAGAGCAAAAGAGAAAAAGATAGAAAGAGCAAAAGAGAAAAAGAAACAGTAAAAGATAGAGAAAGAGAGAGAGAGAGAAAGACCCGAAAAGTGAGAAGAGGATTAATTTCAAAACTTGTTAGAGGCCACCGATGTCGATGGTATCGTTCTTTCTTCATTGGTTTTTCTAATGATACGAGCTAGCCTTCGAACTCTTGCGTAACTCGTATCGTTCATTGATATTGAGTCCCTTTTAACGGGACGAATCGGTGATTATCTCGAACCGCAATGCGTCCTTCGACGCAGGCTGTCACGATCACTACGTGAAAACGAAAGTCACATCTGTGTGTTGGGGGTGAGCTAACGTCAATCTTCTTATAATAATTATCTCCCTTTCACGTACACTTTTGCTCGAAAAGGTTTCACATTTATTTCAGAAATATTTATTTAAATTTTATAATCGGAGCCCAAAGCAATGATCGTTGACGATTATTCTTTTCTTTCGAAATTATCAGATTTGTTATCGGTGCTTGTTTCGACAACTCACTTTACATGTAACTAGACAATCGCATGAAATTTTAGCAAAATAGAAATTCATAACCTTTGTTAACAAATGTAATAGATTAAATATGATGGAAAAATATTTTCATATTCTTGTGCTGCGGAAATGTATAAACTTACTTATGCAAATTGAAAGGTTCAAAATCAATCGTAACGAACAGATAAATGGAAGATAATAGATAAATGGAAATGCATTCCAACTTTTTCTGATAATTTTGATAAATCGAAAATAATTTGATAATTTTCGTTGATTCTCTTCAGAGTTTTATATTTCACCCATTTATGTTTGACATAAATGCACATATTCTCCTCTGAAATATTTTAATATTTCTATATCAATCATATTCTTTATTTCTATAATATGTTTCCGTTAAATATATTCTTTACTTCCATAATATTTCTATATTAAACATACTCTTTGCTTCTGTAGTATTTTAATATTAAATCCTTTTTTTATCTCCTTAACGTAGGAAGATGAAAATTAACGTATTAATTAAATATCTTGAAAACAAGAAATGTTACAGAAAAAATGATTATGAAATAAGGGAAAGGATACAATTAAATAAACAACAGTGCTGTTAAAATTGGATAAAATTCAATCGTGATTTCACTAAACTTTATGGATTCCTTTTTATCACTGTTTTAGCGAACACATTAAGAATTCTTTCGTATAAAAAGATGTTCTATATACTCGCGACACGTGTCCTCACTTTCTAACGTATCAGCTTAATCCTGAAACGTGTCAGAGACGTATGTATATACGTGATATCAAGCAAATAACACAAAATAAATTACAAATTGAAAGTACAGGTCGAAGAGAAACCACAGTTTCACTTGTTGATTTAAGTTTTCGATGTTCTCTTTAAAAGTGAGACGCGATTTACACGAACCAACGACGCTTCATTTTTCTCGAATCACTTTTTGCAATGGACATTAAGTCTTCGATAAAGAATATTGATATCCTTGAAATATTTCTCTGAATTTTATACAGCAGTGTCTGTCGTATTAATTATAAATAATGCTTTTAACATTCAATGATTATACCGATTATCTTGCGTTCAGTGGGTTGCATTTTAATCTATTCATGAATTTCCATCAACGCACGTCGGGCTGAAAATGCGAGTAGCGATGGCAAGTATAATCACGTTGTTTCCAATGGAACGATCAGGAAGACATCGGTTATTAATCTGTAAATTCGTAGAAATCATTTTAACCAGCGTCAAATGGCAAACGCTCGAAGTTAACAATGCAAATGCATTTTGTATCGGTTGACCCAAAAGCCCCGACGGTACAAGAACGCTGTCACTTTAGTTCTATTAATCATTCATTCGTTCTTCCGTGACACAAATTTCTTTTTCCTCAACGAGAAAAGTTGCGACAGTTCTTTTTTTTTAAACTTCCTTCTCCAATAATACTCTTTTTCTTAAAAGTAATTTTCCGTGGACCAAAATAAACGATGCTCGTTCAGTGAGAAATCTCAAATAAATATTATATGGTTATTTCTGCAACAAGTTTTGAAAATATGTCATAACTTTTACACGAAAGCATCGTGGTATTAGCGATTCGTTCATGTCTTTTTCTGTAATCAGTCACAATGGGAAAGCATGAAAACTTGCCTGCATGTAATTCGCATATTGTTTTTGGTTCTTCGCCAGTGGCGTCTCGCAAATTACCATCGTTAATGATACGCCCTTCTCGCGGCTCATCTTCGAGCTTCTCATCCTCAGTTCTGAATTTTTTGAACCACTTTTGCGTGGCACGTTCACTTACACAATCAGTTTGGAATGTCGTTCAAATCTTCCGGGTTGTGTCACTAGTCGTTGCTCCAAGTTTCAAGCCGTATAGCTAATACACGCGAATAACAATGTTAGCGATAGACGATTTCTAATTTCACATTTGTGTCAGATACAAATGTTATATTAAATAGGAGTTATTTTGCTTTTATCTGCACTGTTACTTTATAACATTGTCTTATAACAATGCCAAGATATGTTTGCTGGATTAAATGAGTTTATTTAAAAATTTAGAAACATTTTTGAATCAACATTTTTGAATTGAACAAAAATAGAAACATATTTGTAATACCAGAAAGTGTAAACGAAAAAATCATTTTGGCTGATTTCGCAGTTCCAGTGTTAAGGCAGTGCTTATTAAATTCTTGGTTTCTTGTCAACTGAGTTATATTATTATTAATATATATTCTTCCATTTAAAATTTTTGATAACTTCTGATGATACATCATCCTATCAATCGGTCTGTAAATGACTTTGTAACTCGCATTTATAACTATGCTCTTATACCTGGTAGGAAACGTTGAAATGATATAATAATTATCTTCTACCTATTTTTGTAACTTTAAGAGTATAGGAACTCCATTATAAAATAGGAGAGTACTTTCAATGAGAGTATCCTCAATTATTTATTTATTCCCACCTTAGTATTATAATTTCTGTGTGATTTTCTTTCAAGCAATGTAATGTAACCCTTTACATAGTATATTTATGACTAGACTGCGGGTCTTTATGCATTTATAGCATGAACAGATTTTTAAAATGTCAGGAAACGTACAAATTAATAAGTTTCAACAGCATTTTTATTTTCGTCTTGCAATGAATAATCTTTTAATTAACGAAAGACACTTTTCCTTAATTTAAAGTGACATATGGAAATAAGAATTTGCATAAAAATCCACGTAAATACATAAATGATTGTAATGCAAAAGAATGAATACATAAAAAGAATTTATGAATATTGTCACATCAATTCTAAATTCTTAAAATTGTCACAAGAATAGACAAATTCGCGTGTAGCTCCAGTTCTTGCAATTGAAATAGAAAATTCTACACAAGCCTAAAATTACTTGTAAATTATTGACTCTACGAACCGACTAAAGGGAATCACGCGATGCGATAATTCATGTTTTACTATTTTTGTTTTTTCTCGAGTCGCGAAGGTCACCTGAAATGTTCTTATATAACGATAGGACAGTGATTGGTGAATAAAAAACGGAGACCCTCGGGAGTTTATTTGCAATTTTTAGTAAGACGAGCGTAGAACCGGTCGGCAATAGGAACACGGCCGGGAATAAAAATCGGTTGACCGGCCGATTCGGGCGAACGCATCTTATTAAACGAGATGAGAAAAAGAAAAGGAATAGCGAAACCGAACGATAAGTAAACGACTAAAAGACGGTCAAGGATAAGTCGAAAGCGGTCGACGAGGGAGCGTTTCTGGAAAGGCGATACTCGTCGATACAGAGAGCGGTTAATTAATTCGAGCCTCCTTTCTCCGAAATTCTTGCAGACAGTCCTCGAGGAGCGGCTGGATAGCAGGGTCGATGCCATGGTGCAGACCGGTCTGGTGCAGGAACTGCTTGACTTTCATCGGAGGTACAACGAGCAACGGATTGCGACCAACACGTAAGTGCAAAGAGCTCTATCAGTAAGTGCTTTACATCACGCGACCGCTCCCCTTGTTTCAGGATTTAAGCCTTTGCTCTCCTATGCAGTGGTGTGCATAATTACAGACACGGAGTAACTTTTACATTGTTACCGATAACTAAACGAATACTTAACAAAAGATCATATTTCGATATTTCTATTTTCTATTATTTTTAATATAGAAACATACAAACCTTAGTAAATTTTTGTTTAAACATCACGAAAAATGTAGAAGTTACTCTGAGTCTATAATTATTTATGTTATCGTATATAGTCTGTTTTCTAGCCAGGAAAACATTGCACTCTATCTGAAATGGCCTAGAAATGTTTTATTTCTCATGATCTAGGTGAAGTACGAAATTATAAAACGTCAACAAAATTCATAAAAATCATTATATTACTTTTAATTTAATATAATGTATTCATGTCTAACTTTTATATCTTGTAATTCGTATGACTCTTTGTTTAGTCTGGATTATTGTTTTAGTAATTGATTAAAAAAGTACATACGCGAAATACAGAAACATGAAACGTCGAAAAAATTTATGAATATCTTCGTATCACTTTGAGCTTATTAAAATGAATCAGTGTCTAAATTTCATTTTTTGTAATTGATATAGAAAGCGAAATACGAAATTACAAAACGTAAAAAAAAATGCATGGATGTCGTTCGATAATTTTGATCTCATACTCGAAGCACATAATTAACAGATAAAACAGGACAACTGCAGACAATTTTCCTTTTTTTCTGAAGATCCGCGGACTACTTGTCAGCATGCAACATGTTAAATTCATTTAGTTTAGACAACTCGTTCACCGACATTTCCAAACAAAATTACTGTCAAAAGCAAAGGTCCTTTCAAAGTTAAATTGAACCGAGTACCGCGCGATAGGAAATTCAATTGCCGCAGCTGTTCTGCTGAAAACTTATTTGGTCAACAAGTTGTCGCGGAGGACACGGTGTGACAATAGGATTGAACAGACGAAAATGAATTGAAATGAATTGAAAATTGTGTCGTCCTAAGCTACAGGTTTTCGAGACACGACTATAGAATTACGTTCCTCGAAATTCCTGTGTCACGTGTGCGCGACGCGCACGTGATCCGCACGATTTGTAAGCGGCGCGGCGCGGATCCAAGGCCCCTTCAGAATGAAGTTTGCTCGCCTCTCAGCTTACTCGCTTCCGGAAATCGCAAGCGCGTCGACCGGATGCCAGCGAGAAAATAAAGGAAGTAACCAGCCGCGGGGAAAAGTACTAGTTCGTCGTACCCGCGCATCCTTTGCTCGCGGTAGCGACGCAGAACAAAAATTCGTATGCGCGATAACCTCGTTATCTTGGCATCGACAAGAAATTGCGAAGCCTCTACACCTAGAATCCTTCTCATTAACGATCTTTCTGAAGATATACAGTCTTGGAATTGATAACGATTTTAATGTCGCGCAAATATTGAACGGCGATCTTTAAATAGACTCTGAAATTGCTGTTTTTTCGTGTCGATGTATAGTGGCTCGCACTAGTTTACTGCACAATGATTAAAATACCTTCTTTTTTAATTTTGCTATGTACTTGGAATAACAAGGAAAATAAAAACCTCACGTTTCTTAGCTTCTTCAATCGAGTCTTAAATACAAATTTAAACAATACCTTTCGTAGATCTCGGTGAACTTGTATTATACAATAAGCTTTCCCGTTAAGAAATGTTGTGTGAGATGTCAATAATTTATTTATTTACATCAGTTCTAAATATATCTAATGCCATGGGACAGAATATCGTTCAAATGTCTATCACGGCTACGTTTGCAGAACTGGATCCGTTGAACTCAATTTTCTATGACATTTTCACACAAATCAGCTCGAATATCTCGAATGATGGCTTCATTGTTGTTTTTCAAGTTGTCTAAATTTCGTGGATTGTTGGTATAAACCAATGTTGCACCATCTTTCATAATAAATTTGAATAATTTCTGAAGAATTTGTATATGTATTGTGCGAATATTAATGCGTGTCATTGTATACAAACCGTTGGCACGAGAATCGACGAATTTTAGCGTTGCATAATGATCATAAAAGAGAATGCAGGCACTTCTACCCTTTTTTGTATTCTATTTGAGTGTGAATTACTTGGCTAACTTTCTCTTTAATAGTTTCTTGTGCATGAGACTTACCGTTTTTAATATCTCTGCTGCGATTGATTAATAAAGCATCTAAGAGTGTAGGTTCGTGAGATTTTTCTGTTTTTATGGGTGGCAAATTTGAACAAGGGATTTTTTTGGTACTCCTGTTATTAGTGTGACCTGGACAGTGAATGAACGTTGAAGCTGCATGTTCATTAATGATAAGGTTTTTAGCGTAAACAGGTTTTATAAATAATGTTCGATACAATATAATGTATAAAAATATAGACAGAAAATCGGTAACAAAATAGACATTTTTACATGAAGAAACATTAACACATTATGTGCAGGAGAGATATTAATACCTCTTGAACTGAATTAAACATTTAATTTTCTTTAATTTTGTTATATATTCCAAAAAAATCCTTTGAAGTGCTAAAAATTCTTGTTGTATACCTGTTATCAAAATCTTATCGTTCGTTTTGACACGCGCAAAATGTATTGTCAACAACTGAGCAAAATATTTTAAGCACTCATTCACCTTCACATCATGCATTCAAACATACATGTACACGTTGTGCAACGAATGACATTATCGTAACTCATCGGTAGACCGCGGATCTTTATGCAAAATAGAAATTTTCAAAGCCGATTGTAAGAAACAGAAATTAAATAAAAATAAATCGTTTCTTTTAATAATTTTGATGAGTCGAAAATAGCGCAATGAAATGATTAAACACTTCTTAGGTCTTCACATTTTTCATTTCAACCACTGATTTTTGTGTATATATCTTTTCATCTAATACGGGAAATGTTCATTCATTGAGGTGTGTTCATTCATCGAACAGATTGAATTGAGGTTCGTGTGCTGTAGTCTGTGTATAGTTTATGCTATAGTCTAATATGTTGACAGTGTTCGAAATAGTATTTCCCCGTATATCCGCGGCGAAGCCTCAACTTACATCGTTCTCATCGTGTCATCGAATTCCATGAGATTCAAGTAACCGACATTAAATGCTCGGCATATCGCAGTTTCTGTGTGTTTTTGCGAATATGCAAGATCCGGCAACTGGCACATTCATGTCAACGGGATTTTCCTCTTTTCCTACGCTTCGGTAATCGTTCTTGAACCATCGTCTGCAAGTCCACATCCTTGGAATTATACATATATTCTTTTCGTCCTCGTGACAGCAAAATGTAAGCGATGTACTGATGACTAACAAAGCACAGTTCTGTTGCATACTGCTTTTTTTGCAATGGTTATTCATATCTTTTTACTCGTTCGTTTTATTTTGNGAACGTTGAAGCTGCATGTTCATTAATGATAAGGTTTTTAGCGTAAACAGGTTTTATAAATAATGTTCGATACAATATAATGTATAAAAATATAGACAGAAAATCGGTAACAAAATAGACATTTTTACATGAAGAAACATTAACACATTATGTGCAGGAGAGATATTAATACCTCTTGAACTGAATTAAACATTTAATTTTCTTTAATTTTGTTATATATTCCAAAAAAATCCTTTGAAGTGCTAAAAATTCTTGTTGTATACCTGTTATCAAAATCTTATCGTTCGTTTTGACACGCGCAAAATGTATTGTCAACAACTGAGCAAAATATTTTAAGCACTCATTCACCTTCACATCATGCATTCAAACATACATGTACACGTTGTGCAACGAATGACATTATCGTAACTCATCGGTAGACCGCGGATCTTTATGCAAAATAGAAATTTTCAAAGCCGATTGTAAGAAACAGAAATTAAATAAAAATAAATCGTTTCTTTTAATAATTTTGATGAGTCGAAAATAGCGCAATGAAATGATTAAACACTTCTTAGGTCTTCACATTTTTCATTTCAACCACTGATTTTTGTGTATATATCTTTTCATCTAATACGGGAAATGTTCATTCATTGAGGTGTGTTCATTCATCGAACAGATTGAATTGAGGTTCGTGTGCTGTAGTCTGTGTATAGTTTATGCTATAGTCTAATATGTTGACAGTGTTCGAAATAGTATTTCCCCGTATATCCGCGGCGAAGCCTCAACTTACATCGTTCTCATCGTGTCATCGAATTCCATGAGATTCAAGTAACCGACATTAAATGCTCGGCATATCGCAGTTTCTGTGTGTTTTTGCGAATATGCAAGATCCGGCAACTGGCACATTCATGTCAACGGGATTTTCCTCTTTTCCTACGCTTCGGTAATCGTTCTTGAACCATCGTCTGCAAGTCCACATCCTTGGAATTATACATATATTCTTTTCGTCCTCGTGACAGCAAAATGTAAGCGATGTACTGATGACTAACAAAGCACAGTTCTGTTGCATACTGCTTTTTTTGCAATGGTTATTCATATCTTTTTACTCGTTCGTTTTATTTTGTCTCTTGGCCTCCAAATATTCGCAACTTCTCACAAATTGCGAATATATTTTAGTTTTAAACAGCTTACGTACGACGAGTATATCCGTCAAAATCAGCTGACTGGTTAAATACAAAACTGTAGAAGAACATCTGTACTTTTAATTAATATTTTGCACTTTCATAGTAAACATCCGTATTCATATTCACCAACAATGTTCATATTCATTAAAATTCAGTGATATTAACATCGAAGTTATTTCTGAAAACATTTCCTCCCGTACAAATCGACTGTATATCGTTTGACTGTACGAGGAAAAAGGCAATTATCAGAAACACTTACAATGATTGAAAAAAGATTAATTCAATTAGGAGTGAAAGTGTGTACTATGGCAGTATTACATCACAGTGTCTAGTCTTTATTAACTTGTGCTTCGAAATCTATTTGTTTCAGCGCTACATATTAATATTACACGTAATATTCCGGTA